GCAGCCTGGAACTAGGACCAGGGAGTCCAGAAAGAAGGGGCTCCCCAGGGAGGTATCTCCGTTATTGCCCCCGTGAGCAGGCTGGAGGTCACTGCCTCCCACCCCAAGTTCCTATCTCAGGCCCCTTCTCTCCCTCCTCCCCAGATGCCCCCTTGACCCCTGGGTCCTGGTGATGAAGTGCCTGCTGGCTGGGGCCCTCTTCAATGCAGCGCAGTTAGTGAGCTGTCACTCAGGTCACAGACACAATTATCCTGCTGACGGTGGCCGAGGAGATGACAGAAGAGCTCAGCGCTAATTAAGGTTTCCTTCTAGCCCCTGGGCCTGTCCTCGCCACCTGCCAGATGACCTCTGCTGAGGCCAGAGGTCAGCCCAGGAGACACTCACCACAGCAGGACACCCATACCAGGCCTGGCCTTTGCGCTCAGCCTCCAGCCCAAACAAACAGGCTTCCCCATCCACTCCTGCCCCAGGGCCACTGAGGAGGGGGTCTGGGTGGAGGGGCCAGCCAGGCCCAGCTCCGCGGGCCCCTGAACTTCCAGCCTGCTCCCCTTCCTCCCTCTCACCCCCGATCTCCTGGACCCCTCCCTCTGGCCCAGCCTAGAGGAAGAACCAACTCACTTTGTGAACCACCAGAAAGACAGGCGGGAGAGGAAGCCAGCGTCGGTCTCCGGGCAGGGGTTCTGGACGGGGAGAGTGGAATGGGGGAAATCAGGAGTGCCCACCACCCTCTCATGGCAGAGAAGAGGGAGGAGGCCCCTCGCCCTCCAGCTCCAAGCCCAGGTGGCACGTGTGGAGATGACCTGGGCATGGAAGGGACTGGAAGGGACTGAAAGTGCTGGGAAGGGCTGCCTGAGGGCCGGGGCGTGGAACCTCCACTCCCACCCAGCCTCCGTGGGAAACTCACAGGGTCGACGTTCTTTGGGGAGAAAAATGGTGGCTTCTCCCTGAAGCAGGACAGGATGAGGGCAACGAACACCAGGACGAAGTAGATGTAGAAGGTAGTGAAGCGGAAGGGGTCCAAGATCTTGCCCTGGGGGGACAGTGGGGAGGAGCATCAGAACGCCAGGCTCCTCTGAGAGAGGGGGCGGGTCAGAAGGGGCCCCTGCTCAGTGGAGACTTGCCCTGCCTCAGGCACTGTGCTGAGCACCTCACCTGCATCACCCTGTCCAACCTCCCTTGTCTCCCCTACAAGGTAGGAAGTCTGACACCTACTTTCCAACGGAGGAAATGAAGCTCCAAAAGGCTAAAGAATTTGCCCATGATCACACAGAGAGTAAGTGGATTATTCCAAGCCTGTGCTGATGAATGTACTTGACGGCCTCCCCTTGAGATGGAGAAATGGGGAGATGCTAGATTTCCTACCACCCACCATCGCCCACCGCAGATCAAGAGGAAGGCCAGGAACGGAGGAAGGTGGGAAGAAAGGGGACAACAAGATCCTGGGACTTCCAGTTGAGCCAGGATTAGCCCAGGCTGTGTGTCTTCACACAGAAACTGGCAACTGGTGGAGGCTACAGAACAGCCCCTGCACTCCCATGAATACCCACCAATGGCCCCATTGCCCTGAGTTACACTGGTCCTCAGCCTGACCCCGCCTCCCCATTCTGCTTCGCAGCAGAGAGACAGCAAGTAGAGAACAACACAAAAAGGACTGAACCCAGAGGAAGTCCTGGGCGCCAGGGAGGCGCAGAGGGCAGGAGCCTGGGACCAGCAGTGACCTTGACCCTGACTGAGTTCACCTCCTGGACAGGTCTGGATTGGCCGGTGTCCCTCTTCCTCCTTACCTCTTCCATGGCTGAAAGGATCTTGGAGCGGAAGGGGATGATAGCGCAGACCACACACAGGAACCAGAAGATGATGAGGACCCCCGAGGACTGCACCCCCTGCAGCCGCTCGTACTGGATCAGCAGCGTGGCCAGCAGCTGTGCAGGGAGGGCAGGGGGAGCGGGGCTAGAGCACACACACATCTGGACTTGCCTCGCTTCTTCCCCATCCCATGGTCAGATGTCTGTGGGGTCACCCCCATCCTCTTCCCACTGCTAAGATGGGTCCAGGTTCTCCTCAGAGCCCATGGTTCCCCGATCACAATCCCACAACCCACTGGAGACCCTCCCCCACTCAGCTTCCAGGGTCCCCCACTGACCATGGTGACCCCCACCACCAAGGGGGTAACAAAGAAGATGGGGGCGGGGGCCCAGCCGTGGACCAGGCCATGGAAGGAGTAGAAGAGGTCAGCCCAGGAGACGCACCACAGCAGGACACCCAGGACCTACAAATAAGGTACAAGTTGGAGCGAACATGCCCAGAGGTGGGGACAATCACTCCTTGCTCCTGAAGCTACCAGACCTGCCTGGGCCTGGCCCTGAAGGCTGGGATGGCCCTGAGGGCTGGAAGCTTCTCGAGGGTGGGAGAGCCCTGATGGAAAATTTGCTTGTACCTCCCCAAGCAGAGACTATATCAGTTGGCTGCAGACTCACTTGGCAAGCTGCCATGGCCCCATGGCTCCTGTCTAGCTGCTGAGGGTGAGGGAAGGGACTCATTCAAAAAAGAACCCCCCTCCCGGGGGGCCCCAGCCCCACCCGCAGGAGAGCCCGGACCCCCTGACCGTCTTGAGCCTGGAGAGGAGGGAGAGGACGATGTAGCCTTGGTGGTGGTACCGCAGGTAGAACAGGTAGCAGGGCAGGGCGGCCCACAGGTAGATGCAGGGGACCCAGGCCAGCAGGGAGTTCTGGAAGCAGGGAGTGAGGTCCGGGTTGTCTGTGTGCAAGGACAGGTTGGCGTCCTGGGGGCAGAGGGAACAATTCAGTGCTCTGGCCGCCTCCTGCAGAATTGAGCTCTCTCCCCAGGGCCAAAGGGACACTCCATGTGCACGGGGTCAGAGGGGTGTGAAGATGAGAGAGTAGGTGTGCAAACAAGCGTGTTGTCCCAAGTGTGAGCTCCCCCAGGAGGTCCTGGTTGCCCCATTTCCTCGTGTTCTCTCTCTCTCAACTGCGGTTTAATGTAAGTACAATAAACTGCACCCATTTAGAGTACACGACCCGATGGGCGTGACAGTGGTGCACAACCGCAAAGCCACTGCCACCACAAAGACGGAGAAGACTGCCATCGTTCCACAAGCTCCCTGTGCCCTTTTACAGCCCACCCCACTGGCAACCACTGACCTGCTCTCTGTCATTCTAGAGTTCTCCTCGTTTCACATTTAATTTTTTATTTCATCAGAACAATCCAGGCAGCTGGTGGAAGAGCCCACGTCCTCTCCCAAGGTGGGCCAGAGGGCTTCCCTGAGAGTTCATGCCTCTCCTTGAAAACGAGGGAGGCCGCCCCCCACCCCACCCACCTCACCGGGTGGGTGTAAGCTCAGAGGAGCAACAGGATGCGGAGAAAGCTTTGTGAAGGACCAAGCCCAGGGTGGCCAGCCATCTTGGTTTGCGTGGGAGTGTCCCGGGGAGCCAGTGAGTCCAGGCAAGACCCTGCTCTTGTCTTTGACTCTAACTCCACCGAAGAACTTTTTTGGAAAGAGATGGACGAATACGTGCAAACACATATTTTACTGGGATTGTCTCCTCCAAGCCCATCAGCCAACTAATCTTTTTTTCCTTTCTGGCAATGAATTAGATGTTCTTTATAGAAAGCCCAGAAAATATAAACAATTTTATTTTTAAAAAAACCATCCGCACAAAGAAAAAACAATACAACAAAAGTAAATAATAAAACACCACCCACAGTTCATCTACCTAGAGACAACTGTTAACCCCCCACCTTCTAATTGAAAATCGACATAATTATCATTTTTATTTTTGTCAAAGTTATACATGCACATAATTTAAAGAGTCAAACTGTGAAAACGAAAATGGTGCCTTGCCTCATCACCTCCCTTTGAGTTCCTTTCCCAGGGGTAAAGGAACGGGCTTTCTGCTGGCACCTACTTCCATAGTCTAAGCAATTTGCTTTTATTATTATTATCTGATTTACAATGATTTGATAATCCCTATTTGCTTTTGCTTTGGAAGGTGAGGCTGTGCCGCTCTTATGGCCTAGTCCAGTGATGCGAACCTTTTGAGCTCGGCGTGTCTGCATTTTGAAAAAACCCTAACTTAACTCTGGTGCCGTGTCACATATAGACATTTTTTGATATTTGCAACCATAGTAAAACAAAGACTTATAATTTTGATATTTATTTTATATATTTAAATGCCATTTAACAAAGAAAAATCAACCAAAAAAATGAGTTCGCGTGTCACCTCTGACACGCGTGTCATAGGTTCGCCATCACTGGCCTAGTCTCTTGAGCGTCCTCATCCTTCCAGTGTAGAAACATCACGGAACTTTTGTTAAATAAATATTCAAAGTTTATACTTTTGGACCATGGATGTGTTGTTCATTGCAAAGTTCACTACAACTGGCTGTACCTCTTTCGAGTGGTGTGACCTTGGGGTTGGGTGTGAGTAAGGACACCCCGTCCCCATTACTGCCTAGTGGTCTGTTGTGTGAATGGACCCACGTATGTATCCGTTCTACCATCATCTCAGCGAGCCCATTAAGCCCATCCACTTAGATGCCCTCCGGGAGCCTGTCCAAGGCCACCCCTAACTCAGACTGTTAGGTCTCCCAGCCTGCAGTGCATGTCCCATCTCTCTGGGTCCAGCCTGAGCCTCACCTCCGACAGGAAGCCTGCCTGGGGCTCCCCAGCCTCCAGAAGGGCTTTTCTTTGCTTCATCCTGCCTGGCCTTGGCAGCCAGGTAAAGGTCCCTTATGTTTCAGTGGCACTTATGTGGTCATTAACTGGCTGGTTGATTCAGAACAACTTCCGGAAGTAGAGGGGAGGACCAGTATTAGGCCCAGCTCGCAAAAGACAAAAGCAGGCTTCCCCTGCTCTGGTAACAGGTGCAAGGACACCCAGCCTTCTGATGCCAAACTGGGGTTTCTCCCAGGCCACGCCCCCTGTGCCTAGGAACACATCCTCTCTCCTATAGAAACGTGAGCTCTTGAGGACAGACACGAGGCCCTATTCCCTGGCCCACATCCTCCAACTTCCAGCACAGGGCCAGCTATTCAGGAGGCGCCCAGAAATGGCCTACACATTGATTGACAAGGGAACCCGAGTTCAAGGGCATGGCAGGAAATCCCTGCAAGTCAGTGGCACGGTTCTTTGAGGCAGGCGGGGTGTGACCACAGGAAGAACCAGAACCTGATGCGGAGGACCCGTGAGGGTTGTCACTTTTGGACGAGGGAGCCATGGGCGAGCTCCTTCATCTCCCTGAACAGCAGTCTCCCCGTGTGAGTCATAACGGGAGTGATGACAGCATCCTGGGCAGCTCCCCACAGCAGAGTACAGCAGAGTCGCTTGACTCAAACAGGGCAACGCGTAGGGAAGCAGGCGATGGAGCAAGAGGCAGTGGGGACTTGGTTTCGATTGCACAGACAGCCTGCACTGTGACAGCCATCACGAGATCTTGGGAGCGTGAGGACTCAGTGGCTGCTTTGACCCTCCGGGAGGTCGGGCCTGGGCTCCATGCTTTCAGATAAGCATGTCTCAGCTGGGCAGAGTCCCCTCCAGAAGGCAGGGGTGTGGGAAAATGCCTATTGTCTTCACTAGCAGAGAGGTGTGGACAAGGAACCCAGAAGGCTGGTGATCCTTGAAGCCCTTGCAAAGGTCAGGGCTGTGCACCCATCATTAGTCCAGATAATGGTAGCTGAAGCAACTTCCCCATTTGCTGATGGGCTAGTCTGCCTGTTACTGGAAACTGCCTGCCTAAGGGCTATGGGTGGGCACCAGTGGAAGTCCTTTCTCTTGAGTTGGACTTACCCGCCTGGCCCCCCAATATTCCCAAATGATCTCCTGTCTTTTCTTTCTCATCTGTGTGCGGCTCCACTTCCAGATCCTGAACCCTGAACCACACGGGACGTGGCGGGAAACATTTACAACAAGCAGTACCCATCCAGGCCTCGGTCCTCAGAGGTAGGACGCCGATGGGATGTGTTTCCTGCCGCAAGTCCAGAACTGAACTCCCGCCCAGCCCCTCCTCTCCAGCCGGCCCACCTCGACGGATGGTAACCTTTCTCTTCTCCAGGCCAGATCCTTGGAGTCATCATCCTTAATTCTTCTCTTTCTGTCACACCTCACATTCAACCCTCCAGCAAATCCTGATCACTGCCTTCAAATGGTCAGGGTGAATGAGTTGAGAGTGCTGTAGTCGGAAGGTTCTTATCTATAAAAAGGCAACTTCATCTGGGTCTCTTTGATATATCCAGAATCCTACTGACTCTCCGCCCACTCTCCCACCACCATAGCCCCAGCTCAGGGCTCCTGCTCCCACCCCTGCCACTTGCCCCGCAGTCTTTTCCAGTTGCCTCCTGCACGCCCCCTACTGGGGATCGAGCCTGCCCTTGACTGGAATCAAACCTGGGACCCTTCAGTCCACAGGCAGACACTCTACTGAGCCAAACCATCTAGGGCTGTTGTTGTTGTTTTGTTAACCCTCCCCTGAGGATATTTTTTTCATTGATTTTTAGAGAGAATGGGAGGGGGGAGGAACTGGGGGAAAGAGAGAGAGAGAGAAACATCAATGTGAGAGAGACACATTGACTGGTTGTCTCCCACACATGCCCCTACCAGGGCTGGGAATCGAACCTGCAACCCGGGTACGTGCCCTTGACCGGGAATCAAATCTGAGAACCTTCGGCTCACGGGCCAACACTCTAACCACTGAGCACACCAGCCAGGGCTCTCCCGTCTCTTTGACCTTATCTCCCTTACTCACTCCACAGCTGTCACCCACACAGTTCCCACAGCAACAACAGCTTCCTTAATAATGCGATTGAACAGCTGATGGATCTTACAAGGGCCCCTGCCTGGGCACTGAGGCTGAAATCCCTGTAGACGCCAGCCGGGGGCAGGTGGGACTGAGGACCCTAGAGCCCTTTGAGACAGCTGGCCACACTCTGTCAGGGACTTCCCAGCCCCCACCGCCACCCCAGACTTGTTGACAGCCTCTATCATCAGAAGAGTAATTACTTCCTTTATCCTGTGGGGTGGGGAGAAGTGGGAGAAGGGATCAGCCGACAAGTTCATGTATCTCAGCAGAAATGGAGGTGCAGAAAGGGCTCTGATCCCCATTCACATTCAGTGACCTCCTGGGGCTAAAACAGCCGCCTCTGGAACGGCCTGGGTGGGGGGCAAAGCCTGCTGTGCGGGGTGATGGTGGTGGTGGTGGGGGCCGGGGGTGGGGGTGGAGCGGGGTGCGCTCTATGGCTCACAGGCCAGGCTGGCCTGGCCACTTCTGAAATGTGCCGGCCCACAGCAACTTCGGTCATTTGAGCATCACTGTGTTCCAGGATTATCATTTCATGTTCACGACACTGAGACCCTCGGCTGGCAAGTGACGGGCCCCAGCTCCCATGGGCTGACACCGGGGCAGGAACCCGGGCAGTCTAGCTCCAGAGTCCCCACCCTGAACCCCGGGTTCTAGGGTCCTTCCTCTGTACCCTGTAGGACTTCAGCATGACACCCCGCCTTAGGGATAGGACACATGTCCAGATCACCTGAAACATGAAAAATCTGCTTTCAGCCCTGCAGCCACCCCCCACCCCCCACTCCAATCACCTCCTTGCTTATAGAACGGAGGGGAAGGGGCTGCATGGAAGTAACAGACTAGCTGGGTCCTGGGAGCCGGTGCACTGGAAACCTGAATATCCAGTTAGGAGGAGAAAGCCAATGGAAGGTTAAGCCTCAATTATCCCTCTCCCCCAGCACCGCCCCTGGCGAGAACTAGCCCCAGGTGGGGGAGGGGAGAGGCCCAGCCACCCAGCAGCGGTGCACGCAAGTCTCAACCCTACCCCGGGATCCAGCTCCACCTGCGGCCCGGGACAGTCCCACCAGGGTGGGGTGGACAGAGCCCAGGCTCCTGTCTCCCAGGTGGGTCAGTGCCAGTCTCCGCCGGGACCCCCCTCCCTGGGGGCTGGCCTGGTGCCCCGAGAGCATTTCTCTGTCTGGGGGCCAAGAGACGGCCTTGGCAAAGTTCCCTCCCAAATGCTACTTCCCTGACTCATTTCCTTCCCCAAGTGAGGGAGCAGCAGGTTGGGAAGCAGCCAGCCTGGGGCCACAGGGACCAAATCCTCCCACCAGCAGCCAGGAACCCAGAATTTAAAGCCACCCAACCCCAGCTTCACCGTCCCCGGCTGGGATGGAGGCAGGAGATTCTAGGGGCCCTGGAATCCGGGGAGACCGGTTCCTGAGGGAGGAGCTTTGGTGCCCACCTGCCGACCTTAGGGGCCCTGCCAATGCCAGTTTCCCACAGCTTCGCATGCCACTGTCTTTATTTGAGAGTCAAAGTACATTGGAATCAGTCTCGCCCATTACTCATAAGTTCCGGCAGCCGCCTACGCGGGCGGGTTAGGAAGCAACCCAGGAGGAAAAGCCTGGGGAGACAGGGATACCCAGGAGCCTGAAAGCCCGAATCGTGGCCTGGCCACCTTCTCCCTTCCCCAAGCCTGAGGCTCAGGCTCCCAGAACCTGAGCAACTAGACCTGAAGGGGGCCCCAGAGTCCACCTACGATGTAAATTCAGCTGGAGCCCAGAGACCGTTAGCAATTCACCCAAAGTCACACAACTAGTGAGTGACAGCTGGGACTAGCTGGAACAGAGGAGACACAGGCAGCTGAGCCTCTGAGGAACTAGGACTTTGCCACTCCCGGGGGTGGGTAAACAGTCAAGGGGACAGTGAACATGCCGGCCCCTGACCAGTGAGAGACCCAGAGGCCTCTACCAAGAGCTGCTACTAGGCAAACTCCAGGCCTGAAGTGGGGAGAGCGCCAGGGAAAGAGAGGTCTGGCCATCTCAGGGGAAGGACCAGCCAACCTCTCATTGGCCACGTCTTCCCTCTCTCTAGTCGGAATTTCAGGGTGAGACCCCAGCTCCTTCTTTGACTTGAATCTTCTCTCTGCCATCCCCACAAGTGGTCACTCATCATGGGCTTGCATGCCCCCAGTGACGGGGGAGCTCACTGCTTGTCAGGCAAACATCGCCATCTTTGGACAGCTCTGACGGCCAGGACCTTCAGATTGCGCAGCCGTCATCAGCCTCCCAGGGGCTCCCTGGGCCATCAGATCGAGGCTGATTCTGCAAACAGGTCAAGACCTCCTGAGGGTAAACAGCACGGCCCTTCTCCATGCATTGTCTTCACCCCCTGGCTGCTGCTGAGAACAGAGAGCAGTCCTCCAGGCAGGGGATAGGAGGGTGCAGCCAAGGAACATCCCCACCTCCTTCGTTCTGTCTGTCGGCCTCTCTGTCTTCATGAGCCTTGAGCAATTTGGTCGTAATTTATTCTTTTAGAATTTTTTTCTATATGAATACCCAAGGCACACTCAGAGATGTTGGTAATCTGCCCCAGAGTAGGCAGAGATGAGAGAGAGATTTAAAAAAAGAGATAAACCATCCACCCAGTACATGGTGTGTGGGCACACAGGTGTGGGTCCCCTTGAGTCTGCTCCCCTCAGATTCATCTGGGGCTGAAATGGATGGATTTATGCAGGAGGCCGCCCATCGTCTTCACTAGCAGAGAAGTGCAAACAAGGATCCCGGAAGGCTGGTGATCCTTGAACCCATGGCAGGGCCTGAGTCATGCACCGACTGTCTAGTCCTGACAATGGGGGGCTCAAGCTACTTCCTAACCAAATAGTCTCAGAGTAAATCCTTCTAATATTTACTGACCTTTATGATAGCCTGTCTATAACTGCAATTACCTGCCTGACTAAGGGTTTTAGGTTTAACCAAAGTTGAATAAAAGGTTGGCGAAGCCTGGGCACCAGTGGAGGTCCTTCCCCTTGAGTTGGACTTGCCCGCCTGGCCCCCCAATATTTCCAAATTATCTCTTGTCTCTTCTCTTTCATTTGTGTGCGGCTCCTCTTCCAGATCCTGAACCCTTAACCACGTAGGACGTGGGGGAACACACATACACCAGATTTAGCCCCCAAATCCCCAGCAAACAGCTGAAAAGGGAGTCCCTGGCCCAAGGACCCTGCCAGCCCCTTTCTTGTAGGTCTTGCCAGCTCTAACACACCCTTCTAACTTCATTTCTCTTTCTCATCACTCTTCTTCCCAGGAATGCCATGACCTGCCATCCACAGAGAGTTTTTTCGTTCTCTGTGTCATTTCACATTCCCTATCTCATTTGATCGCCACAAGAATCTTCTGAGGTGGTTAGGAGATGGGTTATTTTGAAATTTCCCGGGTGGGAAAACAGGCTGTGAGGCTAAGCTGGTGAAAAGACTTGGTAGAGAAAACAGTGGCTCAGAGGGGCCTGAACCAGGCCTACGCTCGCCCCCACATTTCCACTCCTGTCTCAGGAACTTCCTGGGTGCCCTGAACTACTTCCCACAAGGTAGCTCACCCACAAGCCCCTAAGAGAAAAGATTCAGGTGCAGATGTACCTGCATAATACGAAATGCAAATTAGTGCACCACAAACGAGTAGCCCAGGGTTCCAGGCGTTTTGGGTAAGTGAGCCAGAGCTGAGGCTGTAGCTCCAGCCTTCCCTGGCCTCAGACCCTCCCTTGTCTCAGTTGTGCAAACCTTCGGAGGATGAGCTGGGAACCTTCCTGCTTTCTCCCTGCCCCACCCTCCGTCACCAGCCACACTGGGTGCAGCTGGGAACAGCTTTCAGGAGCCAAGAAGATCACTGGGAGGTGGAGGGTGTATAGAGACTGCGGTGAGGAAGAGTCACTTCCCTTGACCTTGTCCTTTGAGGTATCCGAGCAGACACCCCACGTAGATGACATCCCTCAGACCTAATATAGATGTGGTGACTCTCATGGACCTGAGGTCCTCAGAGCAGATACACACAGCTCACGAGCCACAAGAAGTTCAGGGACAAGGAGGCCCAGAAGCCCAAAGGGGCACAGACAGGCAATGGCAAAGTTGAGACCACATCCCAGGGGTGCCGCTCCCCAGTCCAGCACCCTGCAATTGAGTGCTGTGTGACCCTGACAAGTCCGTTCCCTCCCTGGCACCCAGCTTCCCCAGCTCTACAATGAGAGGCTGGGCCAGCTGCTCCAAGCCCCCACGCTCTGATTCTTGAGTTCGCCTCCAATATCAGGGAAGGGTAGAGTAAAAGGATCTCTAAGCCTGGAATAGGAAGAGAATCCTGAGTATCCCAGCTCCAAGTTCCTCAAAGCTTGTCTCCGCACAGTCCTAAGCTCTCAGGGTCACTGTCCACCCAGGAACAGGGGGGT